AGAAGGCGATCCAGGAAAGTTAGAGGCGAACCACCGGCAGAAAGACGCACAGGAAAGGTACGGTCGAGTGTTGAAGCGGGAACCGACCGGTGACGATCGTGGGTCGCCACGATGAGAGAAGGAGGGAGTGCAAAGAGTGTGTGGTGTATAGTGTAAATATGAGAGAGAGAAAGGTGGAAAGGAAAGGAGGGTAGCGATTGAAACGCTTCAGGAATTTTGGCGCAATTGAAGAGGGACAAAAATTGGAAATGAATTGAATGAATGCCTGAGCAGCCCCCGGACTTGCAGATGGAAATGCGCCCAGGAACGGCGGCCGAAGTGGGATCACCGGAGAAGGAGGAGAACAGCACAAAGTTGTACACTACTCCCTTAGCAGCAAAATAAAAAAGCATGGACAGAAGCAGACGTTTAGTCCGTTGGAGTGGTTCAGGGATGGACCATCTGCCATCGTCCACCTTCCAAACTAGTTCCAGTAGCGTTCACTAGTTGCGGGTCTAGAGTCCGTCGCGATAATCAAAGAGTCAGTTTCTCAGGGGCATGCATCCGAGTTCCTGCAGGTTCAATATCTCTCCAGCTTGCGCGTGTTCAGTCTCCCTTTTGCCTCCCTAACTCACATCAAACTATCTACGTAATTGTATCTTCCAAAGTGGATGCTGACAAGTTTGGATCAGAACTACTACTGTACAGTAAGTAGTATCAGAAGGACGATCCAGGAGTGTCTTGCAGCTTGCATGGTTCCATTTGGGGAGGGTCCTTGCTATTCCCAGTTCCAGTGAATTGACTGCCATCAAGTGGATCCAGTTACTCCGTATTCCTCAATTCCTACTGGATCAAGTGGAAACGGGCCGTCATGCACCCCCCGATCGATAATATCTATCATTTCATACGAAACTGATCCTGTCCAGTCCATGCTCCAGTCTCTCGTGACCCATCGTAGAGCTCCATCGCACCCAAAGTAGGGCAACGACCGAATTTGTCAGTATGCTGGAGATGGATCAAATTCGATCCAACGATGGCTTTTGCGATCAGGCCAGCCTGAGGGGTCTGCATCAATTTCCCACCATGCATCATCTATCTATCATTTTTCTTCCCTCGTTGCCGGAGATTTACTCACGCTGGCTGAACTGCATCTACAGTCTCCATATCCAGGCACATACATACAGGGTGGTGGTCATGCCCACCTTCCGGGGCCCGGAGCTGGGGCATTCTGTCGCCCAAATGTCAGTCAAATGTAAGCCATGCATGAGAAAAATAAATTAAGGAGCTGCTCCTGTCCTCAACAGGCAACCCTCGCAATGTGATACATCGCCGTTTCCTGACGGTTCTAGTGCCGCCACGCACTTGATACACCGGCGTTCACGGTCGATCTCCTACAGGGATGGCATGGCTTCCATGTTTCATCCGCCAACCAGCCAGCCAGCAAGCAAACAAGCAAGCAGACAGGCTAGACTAGACTAGATGTTACCTAGATAGAATATCCACCCTCCGCCAGTCCAAACTGTAACTTATTTTTTGGGGTTTCTGATGATTCTGCCGCCATCCACCGATCGGACTGTCGGGGAAGAATTGATCCGGGAGTTGGGCCGAAGAGGCTGATGACATAACCCAACGGCCACTCCATCATCAACAAGCAAAGCAATCAATCAATCAATCACTCTATTCGCTAATAGATCGTAATTCCAACCCCCCATTCACCACCACCTTAATCAACAAACTATCCCCCCTGGGTCCGATAGAGGTCGTGGGTACATGACAACCGTGCCTCTACTTCCCATGTCCGAAAACCTGGGGTTTCCCTCAACCACTCGTTGAAGATGAATCCTCACATCTCCGTCCCCCGCCAACATGCCAGCCCGGCCAGCTTCGGCGGTACCACCCCAGCAAGCCGCGGGTCTAGTATCCGCATGCCGCGATTCTTCAAGAGGTAGGCTACTTCTCTCCCTCTGAGGATGACTGGAAAAGCATGATACGTCTATCAAAGGGACAACCATGGCCTTTTCCGATTCTCATCGACCGGTTACTGATGCCCCTGGCTGGCTTACAGGCTGTTCAAGTTCCCGCAAATGGACTTCGAGATGGCTATCTGGGAGATGACATCTTTGTTGATTGCGCCGAAGAAGGTCTTCAAATCAATCTATTACCATGTGAGTTGATGCCGGCGTCCTGCTCCATAGCGCGCATCCGGTTATGCTGACCCAAGCTTCACCGCAGAAACGTATGTCATTGCCCCCAACACCGCACCTTGCCGATATGGCCCGCTTTCCTCGGGATCTGACACACGCTCATCAATACCTATATTAATAACCTCGTACAGAAACGAAAAACACCTGGCACCGTCCGGACCCTTCATTTACCTACCTCCTATCCTTCTTCCTTCTGCTTACCGCCCTCGCGTGGGGACTCGCCTATGCGCCCTCCTTCGGCTCCATTGTCCGGCTCTCGTTAATTTTCATCTTTGTCCACTTCATCGGCTCGTCCTTGCTGGTCTCGACAGTCGGGTACTTCGCGATCCCGCGGTTGTTCGGGCCCGATGGCGCAGCCGCATCGCTGACGGGATTCCGCGGCGGGCGTGGACGGAGACGCGGCGCAGCGCAAGGCCTATTCACGCAGCCGGGAGAGAAGGACCAGCTTGAATTCGGATACTGCTTTGATGTAAGTGACACTCCTAGAGCATACTGGCGAGTGGCAGCACCGGCTAATCGCAGTCACTAGGTATCGAATCGAGCATTCTTTACTCTGTATCTGCATCTCTACGTGGTCCAGTTCCTGGTCCTCCCGCTGCTCCAGCGCAGCCCCAGCAACGCCCTGGCCACCTTCCTTGGAAACACACTTTACCTGTCGGCCGTAACCTACTACACCTACATCACGTTCCTCGGATACAATGCGCTTCCGTTTCTGCACAACACGGAGCTTCTGCTGCTCCCCATTCTGGCATTTGCGGTGCTGTGGCTGGTGAGCTTGATTTGCGGATGGGGGATAGTGGCGCAAGGCCACGGGGTGGAAGGACTGTTCTGGGGTGCATGATTGTTCCCCGCACATGACATGTTATACACACCTGTTCTACTCATTCTTGTGCAAGTAATTTGTCATTTCCGTTTCGGCGCCGGTGTATATGGTGATCTTTGGTCTATTTTTATGTCTGTTCTGTCCGTTCAGGGAATGGGTTCGGGAGCATAATGATTGCATAGGTTCGTTTCTGGTGGTCTCCTTTTATACTCTGCTCCACATGAGAGCAGGCAAAAGACATATGGTTCATACTGTACAGCATAGCTGGGTTATATAGCGTCTATCATAGACTCATTTCTGCTACTGTTTCTCCCACTATACCCTCGCCTCTTATTACACCAAATGAGAAAAGATACTCGGATGTTATGTCATATATTTTACCCATTTGCACAGGCATCAAGCCAAAACCAACTCAATAAGTAACCAAATCTAAAAACCAAATGAACCCCCATCAATTCATTTCCCCTTCTTCCCCTTCTTCCCACCCCCCTTAGCCCCCAACTTCGCCTTCAACTCCTCCGCCCTCTTTCTCGCCGCCTCAGCCTTCTCCTCCTTCTCGACCTCCTTCCTCAACCGCTCCTGCTCCCTCTTCTCCCTCACGAGCGCCAACCGCGCCAAATCCGCCCTCGCCTCCTCCGTCTTCCCCTCCGCATGCAACTTCATATACCGTTCCCTCGCCTGCTGCGCCTCAATAGCTTCCCTCTCCCGTCGCGAAAGCTGCGACAGATCCTGTTGATCCTTGCCAGCACCAGCACTAGCACCAGCACCAGCGGCCGCACTACTACTACTCAACTGAGACCGAGATTTACTCGTATGGTTCGGGTTCGCGGGTAGATCCTCATCCTCGCCATCCGATCCGTCAGAGTTGTCCTCCTCATCCGACGAGGACGGGGGTAAATCGCCCGGTTGCGCGGCGGTTTGGAGTCGCCGGGCTTGCGCAGCTTGCTTTTTGGCTTTGGCTGCGGCACGGCGCTCTTCACGGGTGAGTTCGGGGGCTGCTGAGGCAGTGGAGTCTGCTGTGGGTGGGATAGAGGAGGGGCCGGGTTTTGAGGAGGAGGGGGTGTTGTTGTCGTCGTCTTCAGAGTCCGAGTCTGACTCGGATGTGCTGCCTTCTTCTTCTTCGTCTTCGTCTATCGAGGAGGGGGCGTCCTCGTCTGCGTCCTGTGTTTTGTTTAGGCCTTCTGGTTAGGAGGATTTTCTTCTTGCAGGAGGGGGAGGTGCGTACCCGCCATAGGCCAACAGGGTTACCGTCCTTGTCGACGGGTTGGACGTCTCGACTGAAGCGTTTTCCGCCTGTGTGTATGGTTAGTTGGTCCTGGGGAGCTGGGGGTTGTGGTGGCCCTGAGGTTTTAAAAAAATAACGTACCTCCGCGAGAGGGCTTGGAGAACTTTCCGCGACCGCGGGGAGCCATGATGTATGCTGGGTGAGGAGTAGGGCGAGTAGATGGGGTTCAGAGTCGAGGAGAGGAGTCAAGGTTGGATAGGGTTTATTTTTCCCCCTGCTGGCAAAGAGAATCTGGAGTCAGCGAGGAGAGGGTTGAGCGATGAAGAAGAGAGGGATGGAGGAGTCAAACAAAGGCATTCATTCTCGGAGGGGCTGCGGCGGGGAAGTACCACCAGATCGACCGACACTTACGCGATCCAGTGCAGAGAAGCTGCGCCAAATAATAACTACTAATACTTTGTACTCCAGTTGGAGACTGAACTGTGGAATGAGATTTCAATGGACTTTCTGGTCTCTGGTTACAAATATTGAGAAAACCACACCCTAAATCCTAACTATTGTACAAAATACAAAAACAGCTCTGAGTCACGCCGCCAGTTGCCCAGAACAGGCGGGGAGCCTGACTAAGGCGCGGTCGTTCATTGGTGTCATTTTTAACTTAGTTATTCTAGTTAATACACTTTTATTTACTGCTTCACTGCAATTGTCTACTGTATGTACAGTTGGCTCAACTTCAAGTACTGCTCACCCACCGCGGCAGTCATCCTGGCTACGCTCGTTGCCAGGTCAGCCCCAGCTTCGTCACTCTCGCCGCAATCAAGGTCAGCGTCCCCGCCAGAATCGCACTGCCCATGAACATCTGCGCGTACAGATATTGCCCATCATCCCGATCGACCAGTGCCCCGGCAATGGGGGTACCGATCAGCGCAGCCACAGCCACTACACTGAGCACCATGCCCATTCTCACTCCGGTCTTCTTCAGATCCGTGGTAAGCGTGCTCAGGGTGGCCGGGAAGAGCGACTGGATTCCTGCGGCTGCCAGCCCATAGAACGCACTGAAGGCATACATCTCATTGTAAGTGTGAACCGCAGCCCAGCAGAACGCGACCACTCCTGTCACCAGGCTGAACGGGATCAACATGTTCAACGGTCCCGTGTACCGATCGGCCATCAGGTTGGGAATCAACCGGCCTAGCAGACCAACACCATTCATGACTAAAAGGACGTCGATCGACGTCGAGTTGGAGACCCCGATGATGTTGCGGGCGAAGCTCCCGATGTAGAAGAACCCGACATAGAGGCCCCAGAAGTTGAGGAACATCCCCAAGGCGAACAAAGCATAGGGCGCCTCTTTGAACGCCCCCCATTCGACGAGGGGTCCGCTGCGACGCGGAGGCAGTCGTTGCTGAAGAAACACCAGGCACGGAATCAGCGTCGCCAAAGAGATGAACCCCAGGGTCCGCATGGTCCAGCCATATCCGATTTGAGGGAGGAGTCGCATGACCACCGCCGGGAAAACCAGGCCGCCGGTGGCAGAGCCCGAGGCCACAATTCCGATCGCAATCGCTCGGTTTTTGGTAAAGTAAGTCGGCATCAGCGCAATGGTCGGGCAGAACATCAGTCCACAACCGATGCCCTGACCAACGCCCTGAGCCAGGAACAGCTGCCAATACTGCGTGCACAGGGAGGTCATAAAGATGCAAAATAACTCCAGGACAGCCCCAATAGTCAGGATGGCTTTGAAATAGCCGGCGTCGGTTGCGCGTCCAGAGAAGGTTCCGACGAAGAAGAGTAAGAAGATCTGGATACTGCCTACCCAGGAGATATCGGACGGGGTGCGACCTAGCGTCTCGGTATAGTAGGTTTGGAACACACCAAAACTATTGATGTAGCCCCAGGTGTTGAAGATGACGAAATGAGCCAAGGCTACTTGAGACCATGCCTTGAAGCCACCATCGGGGGGAGGTCCCAGGTCCCTTCCAGACTCTCGGGTGCGGACTAAGGTCAAGGTTCTACTGGCCAGTGCGCCAACATGGCTAACATTCGTCGGGGTTTTCGACAATTCCTTTTGTGCTTCGGGGCCAAGGCCTACTTCCTCATCACCCTTCTCATTCCCTAGCGGAAGGAATTGTTCAGGAACGGGAGAGTTGGCAGCCTGACTGGGTCCACTTTTCTCCTCATTTGCGGAGATGGTCAAGTCTTGCTGGGTATCATGCGATGATCTAGCGGACATCTTGAGGGAACGTATACCCCGAAGGGATACCACAGATTTTCGAAAAGTTTTTTATGTCTGGGAGTCTCGTGTACATCAAAGGGTGATGTTTCCTGGTAAATGAAAGCAGGTAGACTAGTTGGGAGACGAGCCAGCCACTCTGCGAGGCACCCAGCTTCTTTATTAATTAATTGGCCTACACACGACCAGATGGGCTGGGCAAGGACACTCTGGATTGTGGAAGCAATCAGTCGAAGTGATGGCGCGCACCTGACTGTTCAACGAGAACTGGGAATGGGATCTGAAACAGAATGGGGACAGAGAAAGAAACGGTCAAGGATCAGGCACTATGAAGTATGCATCGATGCCCCAGCTATCGACTTGATAGAGATCAAGCGAGTTGATATGTGCGTATGACTCAAGGCGCGTCCAGCAGACGGCATCGGCGGCAATTGGTTATAGCAGCGTTGGAAGCGTCTTCCTGCCAAGGACCTTTTCGAGGATCAGCCCTGTTAGGGAATGAGATAGATAAAGGAACGACGGTTAGGCTGCGTGAGTCAGGAAGCGAAGTAAGACTAGAAAATTAGGAGCTAGGGCTTGAACAGCTCGCAAAGAAGACCGAAAGCCAACCGCCATGATGGCGGGGGAGTAAGGTCGGCAATGCTGTGCCGAATCGGCTAAAGAACGAGGACGATCAGTTTGGGATCCAACAGGAAGCGACACCCGGAATACATTGGCGATAGTTAGGCCTTGGTTACTTCGACGCCCTATTGTCATGGTGCACCACGGTCCCAAAACCCGGGGGCTCCAGGATTCTTGCTTGGGATTGGGGAAAATTGGCAGGTGGATCCCCTCCCCACCATTGAGCTATTTTACTAGCTGGTTGGGGGAGGGGGAATAATACCATTGCCGATGTGATGGGTCATCCCTGGACAGAGGAACAATTCAGGAAGAGTTGCCAAAGGATTGGAGAAGAAATAAGAGGCGGGGGGGAAGAGAAAGAATAAAGAAGATATATTGCCGATACAGTCCGGCTTCTTAGTTACTTTTTCCATACTTGCCCTCCTTTATGTATTATGTATGTTAAGCATATTCTCCGAATTATACGAAGGCACGTGCGGCGGACTTCTGCCCGGCTTTCTTTCTTTTCTTTTTTTTTTTTTTCTACTCGAACAACGTCATTGAAGTACGAACTACCAGAAAGAAGCCCCCCTGTCCTGCACTATATTTCCTCAATGGGTTGTTGATACATTACTCTCCTTGTGGTGGTAGTACTAGTAGTAGTCGTAGTAGTCGTAGTCCTCTCGCGGCACCAACGACCCATCTTGTTCTCAGCGGCAACTCACAAGACGTCTACTGACTTAGTACTGGCCATATTACGAGTCGTGAGCGGGAGACGAATTATTTGTTGAATCGTGCCCTTCATCGGGGTTCTATATTGTTCTAACGCATCATAACAATGGAAGGCATCTGCCTCTCGAGGCCGGCCCATCTATATATAGTCAATTAAAAGCACCATAAACAGGTATCCATGCTGTCTGTCTCGAGCGTCAAGCAGTCATGCTCGAGTTTTTAATGTTCAAGATCAACGGTTGGAAGGTAGGCAGGGGCTGTTGAAAAGAAGACAAGGGAAAAGACAAAGAGAAACAAAAAAGGTAGGAGAAACCCCCATGCTGGACTCTCGCTAATGGCTGGACGACCCCCCCGAATCCAAATGCCGAATGCATACCCGCTTCGTGACGCCCTCTAACAAATCGCCGCCACCACAGCATCACCTCTACGCCTGGAAAAAGAATGGCAGAAATATATATCAATAATCGCAGATGTTAAATGGAGATCAAGGGCGATTACGCGGAGACCCTGTCCCCGCTTCGAGAAAGACCACCAGTGCAGTATTAACAGACCCTCAATACTCTTGGGAGCACGAGCTATTGTTGAGCATCGAAATAGTTTCAATCACGTCGGCGGGTTCCAGGAGATGCCAGCTGGCGGCCGTTTGCTTCGAGCTTGCACCAACAGTGACCGAGTAGACGTGGTCTTGTGGCAGGTCGAATTTCTGTAGGGCACGGAACATGTCTGTGGATAACAGGGAATTATTAGCGAATGTATAATAAGATGGAATCACGGGAAAGCACGTAAGGAGGAGGAGAATTTGGAAATATAGAGATCAAAATAAAAAAGAAGAAAGGCTTACCTTCATCTGTGAAGTCGTCGCCGGAGCAAAAGATGAACTCGGGAGCCTGCCCAGGGCCGGTGCCGTACTCATTGACGAGGCGAGCCGCGATGAATCCCTTGTTAACGAACGTCGGCCGAACTTCCAGGTTGGCTTTCCCGGCCATGACTTCAACTTCCCATCTCTTCCCGACGGTGTCTTCAAGCTGCTTCCGGCATTCGCGAGCCTGGAACGCTCCATACTCCGGATCCGCACGGCGATAATGCCATGTCAGGGCCACGCGCTTTCTTTCGATGAAAGAGCCCTGTGTCCGTTCTGTGAAGTGCTGGAACGTATCCATGACCTCCTTCTGCCAGCCCATGTTACTCCGTTCGGCCAAATTCTCCCAGTCATCCGAGTGGGGCTTGCGAATGAAGCATCCGTGCTCTGCACTTAGTCCTAGCTCGGGGATGTGGCCCATCCACTCATCCAAGAAGGCTTGATCACGTCCACTGATGATCCAGACCGCATTTCGTGGGTCTGCGGCGAGGGTCTTGATAGTACGCAGCACCCGATCCGAGGGGATCGCAGCTTGCGGGTCTTTGACAATCGGAGTAAGTGTACCATCGTAGTCAAACATGAATAGTCTCTTCCGAGCCCGACGGTACTGCCGCACCAGCTTGGCCCGATCGAGGGCCGGCGTTGCCACCGATTGGTCAAATGACGAGAGGTTGGTGAGGAGACGAGTGACAAACTGTTTTGACCAGGACGAGACTGTGTTTGCAGTGACGTGCTTATAAAGCTTCTGATGCTGTGACATCTTCTCTTCCGGAGACATGGTTAGGGCTTTGTTGATGGCTCCCGCCACGCCGACGGTATCCCATGGGTTGATATGAATGGCATTGGACAAAGTCCCCGCCGTACCAGAGAACTCGGAGAGGATCAAGGGGCCATAGTTATTCTGTTGGCAGATGATATACTCCAAGCTAGTCGTGTTCATGCCGTCGCGGACCGTGGTGATGAGTCCGACATCAGCGACACGCAGCAGCGCGAAGTACTCATGAGGGGAGAGGTACTGCGGGTAGTACTTGACGGGGGCAAAGCTCAACGATCCGAACCGGCCATTGATGGTAGAAACCAGATTAGAGACCTGACTGGCAATCTTGTTCTCTTCTTTCTGCTCGTCGACGCTGGTTGGGCTGGTTACCTGGATCAGGACTACCTTATCCCGCCATTCAGGGTACCGCTCGAGGAAGACCTCGAACGACTGCAGCTTCTGGGCCACACCGCGGACACTGTCCAGTCGATCACGGCCAACAATAATCTTCTTTCCGGCATACAGCTTGCGAATACCCAAGACTGCCTTTTCTATCTCGGCAGACCCGAAGGCTGCCTTTTGAATCGTCTTGGTATCGATACCTATCGGGAAGACATCCACTGCTACATGAGCACCGTAGGCATCCACCCCAGCCGAGTTGGAATCAAAGCCTAGGACACGTGTACAGCAAGATGAGAAGTGACGAGAGTATGAGAACGTCTGGAAGCCGATCATGTTGGCCCCCAGGACCCCCGTAAGCACCTCCTTGCGCTTGGCCAAGCAGCGCATGAACTCACTGCTGGGAAATGGCGCATGCAGGAAGAAACCAATGTAAATGTTGGGGATGCGTTGGCGCAGCATACTCGGGACCAGGAATAGGTGGTAGTCATGGATCCAGACAATATCTCCTTCCTTGTATTCTTGCGCAATGCGGTCGGCGAAGAGACGATTCATGCGGACGTAGTCTGCCCACCACTTACGTTCCGATTTGCCGTCCGTGGGACCGTGCTGTTTGTAATGAAGGAGTGGGTAGAGCTCGCGCTCGGCATAACGCCTCCACCGACCCTGGTCGTCCAAGAAGACCGTGTCATCTGGATGTTCCGATTCACCGGTCAACCAGACCGGCACGATCTTACCGTAGCGGCTGGAGCTCAGCTGCTGATCGAGCCTTTCTCGGTCCTCCAGGTCCACTTCGAAGCCGTCAAGGAGAGGATGACTGGGTAGGCGTTGACTGGCATCCACAGGCACCGGTGCGGCAGCTTTATTGAGGGGCAAGGCCGAACCGTTGAGGGTGGTCGGCACCTTGGCACTTGTGTTGATGGGAATCTGTTGCAAAGGAATCGCTGTCTCCTGGACCGGCTCGACCTCGCCGGTCCAGCCAACGAGGGTGTGGGACCATCTCGATTCATTAGAACCAAGATAGGCCATTGAATCAAAAAGAGCGGAGGTTCCCGGACGGGGTTTCAGCTCCTACAATCCCGTGCGATCAGCTAAGTCCTCTTACTGATTTCCCCCCCTCAAAATACGAGTGATCTGGTGGGGGAAGTGACTTACCCAGTCGGACCCGGGATGGAGATAGAGCTTATAGGGGATACAGAATGCAGCACTGATCACTCGGCCGGTAAGACGCAGGCTGGGGTATTGTTCGCGGGGGTCGGCGTCCAGCATGATGGGAGATTCTATCAGGCTCAAGCGGCGCAACAATTCAGGACCCGATTTGGCGTCCTTGACAGCCTGGGAGGGAGTGATGGGGGAAGCGACAGCTGGAGGGACCGAAGAAGCGTGGTTCCCCGGGGTATCAGAAAAGTAGGAAGGGGCATCGGGGAGGGTGGAGGGCTGGGTCTGTTCACCCCGCAGATCCGGGGTGGCATTTGAGGCATTCACAAAAGCATCTTCGCCCAGAACATTCAGGCCAGAGCCAATGGGGCCCGGATTGGGCTGGCCATCGGGCATGGCGGCAGACCGTTGTTCGGCGGCCATGACGAAAACGGACGCGGCGGAGCGAGGAATCACAGTCAGTCAGTCAATGACAGGCAGAACGGGAACCAATCT